GACCCATAGCGACCCTGTACAGGGTTTCCGAGGGTGTAAATCTTTACGGGAGTAGAAAGCCTGATCTTTCTCCCGCGGAGCAGCTGGTAGTTTCGAACCGCTGACCTTAAGGTTCACAGCCCGATTCGTAACCACTACGCTACCAGAGCTCCTATATAGGGTTACTGAGACTATAAATCTTTATAGTAACAAAATGCCTCATCATTCTTCCACAGAGCAGCTAGTGGTTTGAACTACCCACTTTGTGGTTATTGGTCCAGAGCTTATCCTAAAGTGCACACCAGCACTCCTTGTTATTAAGTGCTGTCGACTTGGTCTTGACTCATAGTGACCATGTATATAGGGTTTCCAAAATGTGGCTGGTGGGTGTGAACCGCCAACCTTGTGATTAGCAGTTCAGTGCTTATCCTACAGGACCACACTAGGACTCCCAGTACCCCTTAGTATGATACAATTTATAAGAGTTTACGTATCTTCCCTAATGGAAAAATCCCTAGACCGGGAGTCAGAACACTTGGGTTCTAATACCAGCTAGTTAACTTTCTAGGCCTTTAGTTCCTGATTTATAAAACAAGGGAGTAGAACTATCATTAAATGATGGGTCACTTCTAATGTTCTGTGATTTCATTTGCAAGTATAACTCCCTTGGGAGGAAGTAGAGTTGCTTTGGAATTGAATGTATTCAGTTCTAATACATTGGGGGATCTACTTTGCAGGTCCCCTTTTCAAAGGAAATATAAGTAGGTTGTTTTTTGTTTGTTTTTAAATGGTTTGTGCATCTTTAAATATTCTGTTAATAATAAACCAAGAAAAGGTATAAATGAGTTTATTTCTTCTCTGCTCTCTTGCTTCCACTTTATTCATTAAGGGAGGCACTGAATGAAGATAAACCTGGAGATTGAGCAACTTGCCTAACTTGTGAACATTGACCTCAATTGAAAGATGGTCCTCTTTGGAGTTTGCTCATTTACTTTTGATAACTTAACACAGGCACTGGTAGGTAGCCTGTGTTGATTGGGGTGGTATGTTTGGTGGTTACTGACTTCCCAACAAAGTACAAAAGCAAACTAGAAATCCTTCACCTTAGTTAACTCTATTTTCTCAGCACACCCTTAAAAATGGTCCCGTTTGTCCTCTGTGCTGCATGAAGACACTCATTGCCTGACTGCTAGTGTGCAGAGTTGCTTATGTGTCTAAGAGACCTCACCAATTGTATATGACCAATAGGCTTGATCCTTTCATCATACTTTAATTTGTCAAGAGGAACTGTCAATCCAGGAGAATTTCTGCCAACCACTCGTATGTCTGTGTGAGTGGGTATGTTTGCTTACAAAGAATGCTTACGGGAGAGGGGAGAGGTAAGTGTGGGGCTGATCCAGCTTCAGAATGAGGGTTTTGTGTTTCCTAGGATGGGACTGGAACATAGATTCTTAATGACACAGCCTGGGATGTTGAACCCCAGCAAGGCTTGCCAAGCCAAAGGAATCATGGAAAGCTAGGTCCTCCAAACATCAACAAGTCCAGAGGCCCAAAGGAGAAATGGAAGCCAAGGTCACAAAACCAACAATATGGGGCTGAGGAGAAATCATGTTAGAATAAAAAAATTAGAATAAGCTGGGAGGATGCTAGGCAGATGAGAACAGCAATAGGTTGAACAGGCTTATAGAACTAGAATCAAGGAGGATACAAATACTCTGTCCTGAACTTCCAGCATGGTGGCAGAATAGGCTGACACACTACACACCCTTTACAACAAAGACATGAGAAAACAGAGCAAGCACAGATAAAAATTCTGGCACCCTGACTTTCAGAAGACAGGTTAGAGAGGTGGATGGAGTGCTTACTAAGAGAGGCCAAGCAGGGACGCTGAAAGAGTCACATGAGCGAAGAGAAGGGTGCAATTGCCTCTTTCCCCAAGCTCCCCCCCATCCACCCTCAGTGCAGACCTGCTTTCTCCAACAGTTTGGAGCCACATGGTTGGGAGCCATGCCAGTGTGAGGTGGGAGACTAGCACCACATTGGTGTGCTGCTTTGGTGCCTGGATTCAGGTGGGCTCAGCTCCAGATCTACAAAACCTGAAGAGCCACCAAACTAACATTTAATCAATTACCGTGGCCCCAGCTTCCTAGCAGTCCTAACAGACACTGAAACCAGCTCCATCAAAAGCCCCCACAATCTACTTACGGACTGAGTACCCTAAAGATAGATAAAACTGAGGCAAAAAGGAACTCCATCTAGGGCCAGGAAGTCTGCTGTCACTTCCCTTTCACAACCACCTCGTGGGATCCTTGAATCGCAGGAGCACCCCCAGAGATTTCTTACCTCCAGGTCCACTGTTAATTTTTACAAATATGACAACCACACAATGCCCCAGAGACAACAGACAATTTTAGTTCACATGAAGAAACAATAGAAAATAACTCAAACAAATGCAGAGCCAGAAGATGTTTCTGAGGAAGAAAAGGTCGTAGAACTAACTGAAAAAGAATTCAGAAGAATGCTAATTAGGTACCTTCAAAGGATCAATAGAAAGATCTAGGAAAGCAAGGAGAACACAATAAAAACTTTAGAGGAATTCAGGAAAACACTACAAGAACAAACAGCCAAAATAAATCCAAATTTTGAAACAGTACAAATTCTGCTATCAGAAATTCAAAAGACTAATACTAAGATCTCAGAAATGGACAAATGAAAGGGCAAAAGAGATGCAAAGCAATGGAAGCCTGAATTAGTGAACTTGAAGAGAAATTTCCCAATACTAGTATTCTAAAAGAACAATGAGAAAATATGAAGAAAGCCTAAGAGTTATGTGGGACACCATGAAGAGGAACTACTTACAGGTATTGGAATTCCAGACTAGAGAGACAAGCACAGAGAAAATTCTCAAAGAATAGTTGGAAGAAATCTTGCCTAACATTATTAAAGACGAGAAGCATACAAGAAGCTGAAGGAACCCCAAACAGGATAGATCTCAAAAGAAAATCACCAAGACTTATCATAATCAAGCTATCCACAATCAAAGCTAAGGAATGAATCTTGACAGCAGCTTGGGAAAAATTTTAAATTTCCTACTAAGGAGAACAAATAAGACTAAGCGCAGATTTCTCAGCAGAAACCATGCAGGCAAGAAAGTGATGGAATGGCATATATAAATCTCTGAAAGGAAAAGATTGCCAGCCAAGAATCATATACTCAGCAAAGCTGTCCCTCAAATATAATGACAAAATTAGGATATTTCTTGATAAAGAAATGAAAGGAATTTGTAATGACCAGACCAAGTTTGCTAAAAATTACAAAGTGTGTTCTTTGGACTGAGAAGCAGCAACAGCAGACAACAACATGAGATCAACATACATGACAAAACCACCCAGAACTCAATCTAGATATAGAAATATTTAAAGTAACAAAAACCTACCAGACTGAAAATAGGAAATCAGATATATCAATTTATAATGAAGTCAACTACAAAGCAAAAAGAAGGAATAGTGTAGAATCAGAACTTCAAAATGGCAAGGAATTCAAGTAGATTTCAAAATATAACAGACTGTTTTAAGCAGGGAAAAAATTGATACATTACAGGGTAACCTCAAAAAAATAATACATATCAAAATAAGAAAAGAGGAAAGTAAAAAAGATTTAGCAAACATTAACAATAGAAATGATCAAAGAAAACCCACAAACAAAATAAACTCAGGATAGAATATTATGTGGAAGAAAGAAGCCAGCAACTCCACAAAATAACACACAGAAAAATGACAGCAATCAATTCACACCTA